GCAACTGGGAGGGACTGGGAGCAACTGGGAGGCACTGGGAGCATGGGATGGGGGCATGACGGGGGCGTTGGGAGTGAGTGAAGGGCACTTGGGGAAACTGGGAGGGAACGGGGGGCACCTTCTAATTCCGTTCTTTTCTTTCTCCCGCTTCCCCTACTCCTCCTCCTCCTTTTTTCCCTTTTGTCCCTTTTCCCTGTTCTTTTTTCCCCTTTTCCCCACTCTTTTTTCCCCATTCCCCCTTTTCCCTGCCCCATTTTCCCCTTTCGCCCCTTTTCCCTGCCCTTTTTCCCCGTTTTTCCCGTTTTTTGCCCCAAACCTGCCCCAGCCTGGCCCTGTTCAACACGCAGTTCCTGCGCCTCTGCGCCGACGCCGACCCGCGGGTGCGGCCCCTGGGCTACGCCGTGCGCCTCTGGGCGGGGGGGCAGCGCCTGGCAGGTGAGGGGGGCCGGGACCCCTCCCCAAAATGGGCTGGGACCCCTCAAAGGGGGCTGGAACCCCCCAAAAACAGGCTGGAACTCCCAAAAAGAGGCAGAGACCCTCTAAAGTAGGAAGAGAGCCCTGAACATCACTGAGCGAGGAGGGGGCTCAGAGCCCCCACCCCACCACCAAACTCCTCCAAGCAGCAAGGGGGGGTCGTGGCCAATTGAGGGGGGGGGTCACAGCTCACTGGGGACCCTCGGCACGACCCCCCCCCCGTTATTCCCGCAGGGAACCGGGCCGGGGGCGGCCCCCTCCTCACCAACTACGCGCTGACGCTGCTGCTGGTGCTGTTCCTGCAGAGCCGCAGCCCCCCGGTGCTGCCCTCGGTGCGGCGCCTCCGCCTCCTGGCAGGTGCCCACACCCCCCCTTCCCCTTTTTGGGGGTCCCTTCCCCATTTTGGGGGTCCCTGACCCCCCCCCGGTGTCGGTTGCAGGGCCCCAGGACCGTGCCCAGGTTGGGGGGTGGGATTGCAGCTTCCCCCGGGACGCGGCGGCGCTGGAGCCCAGCGGGAACGACCAGAGCGCCGGTGAGGGGGAACCGGGGGTCCCCAAATCCGGGAGGGGCTCCTGACCCTCTGGGGGGGGTCCCCAAATCCGGGAGGGGCTCCTGACCCTCTGGGGGGGGTCCCCAAATCCGGGGGTGGGATCCTGACCCTCTGGGAGGGGGTCCCTAAATCGGGGAGGGGCTCCTGACCCACTGTGGCGGGCCTCAAATCCCACTGGGTTTTGGGGGGATTCCGGGTGATTTTGAAGTTATTTTTGGGGTTGGCTCTGGTTGGTTTTTGGGTATTTTTGGGTGTGATTTGGAGGGATTCTGGGTGGTTTTAGGGCAGTTTCTGGATGTTTTTAGGAGAGTTTTTGTGTGATTTTGAGGGTATTTTTGGGGCTGTTTCTGGGTGGTTTTGGGGGTATTTTTTTGGCTGTTTCTGGTTGGTTTTAGGGCAGTTTCTGGATGTTTT